ATGACAACAGACTTATTTTTAACTCTTCAAAGTGTGAAGTAGTTCATTTGTGACGTGTTGCAGATTACGGTTACGACCTAGGAAACTCCTTTCCAGAAGTGTCCCAAGCTGATAAGAATTTAGGAGTGCTGGTACCCTACGATTCGAAGTTTTACGTTAGCTGTGAAAAAATGCCTTTCGAGCAAACCTTGCACTGGTAACATTGAAGCATACTTTTGGCTAGTTTGACGAAAGAAATTTCCACATAATTTTCAACAGTTTTATTCGCCCCCATTTAGAGTACGGAAACAGTAATTCCTCCCTCACTCCAAAAGGATAAGGGTACTCCAGAACATATCCAACGGTAAGGCACGAAATCATTTCGGTGACTCAAATTCAAGCCTAATGAAAAGCCCCTCCCTTTACTTAACCTTTGCCTATCAGAGTATCGGCGTCTTAGAGATGACTTTCTGATGGCTTAAAGTATCCTTAACACTTCTGGACATCCTCTTAAAAATGGACGTAAGCTTAGCTCCAACAAAAACCTAACACCCAGAAACTGGAGACGCAATTTCTACTCCTTAAGAGTTGTCGAATGCCCGAATTTCCTTCCGGCTGAGTTAGTCTAAGCGACTTCTCGGGAGTCCTTTAAGAGGAAACTCGATCCATTCTTAAGAACTAAGGTTATCATCTTACTATGATTTACCGTTTTCCCCCCTCTACTATCGTTAATATACCTGGGTTTCTGCCTGGAGGTATTGGTGATCCATTGCTACTAGATACGGAAGCCTGTCAAGCGAAAGCTTCTTCTATTCCGTCCACAATCATTTGAACCATTTGAAACGCTATAAAGTTTGACCTTGAGACGATCGAACGTATTCAAAAGTCATACATAAGTTCGTGGTCAGTTGATAATAACCTAATGCTTCAACCTTCTCCTCTTATATTGTTTTGAATGCTTAAATAAATGATCTGCTCAGCTTATGAGTCTTTCTTAGCTTCTTTTCAAAATAGTGTTGTTTCTGATATTCAGATTTTAAATACTTATTGATCAGTCACGTTGTTTTTATTTTGGTCTGAAATTTTTACGGTAACCAGACTCTACACTCTCCTGATCAAACTATAGTTAGATTTTTTTGAGTGAAGGAACTAGAACGAGGTTCGAACTACTTCATATTGCGTCGTTGCTTGTGATATAAATGATCAAGAACATATAATAATAAGTATATACTTACGGGGCGAATCTTGAAATAGTTGAATGTACGGTAGTTACGGTGCATTTGATATTTTTTAGAGCACAGATGCTATACATAATATGTATGTTCAAAAGCCGCGAATTGTTTGACAAATACGCATCTACGACGGGCAGAATTCAAAAAGCGTCCCTGTTTAAATCTAATTAAAGTGAGTAAAAAGACGTGTAAATCAAGCGACAATGCATGTAATCGTTCGCCATATCCCAAATAAAATTTACTATATGGTAAAAATGCTCGGATGTAATCACAGAATAACTATCAAGTATTACTGGGTAAAACTTAAGAGTTTTTGAGGCGCTCTTGGTTTAATATTGCTGATAAAAGCTCTCAGAACTTCTCATTTTTAAGATGACTATAAACCCACTCATATATTCGTATGAATTAAAGACAGTATTAGTCAAGGTGATATGGAACATCTACCCACTAATTAAATTAAAAGAAGGCAGTATTTCCTAGATGACCAAAGTCAGTGTGAGAAAAACCACCCACATGAACAGGCTGTCAGGAAAATTCCGTAAACCTCTAACTACTTATCTCAGTTGTAGCGGTAAATAAATCCCCAAAATAAATAGCACTAAGTTTTCGACATTGGATGCTGACCATATGTTTTAGTGGACTCATCTAGCTGAAGGCGCTCGGTCAGGCATCCGCACCAGATCACGTGTGGTAACGCCGTGCTCAACATCAACCGCAATCGCTAGCCAGATTAGATCAGAGAATTCCGATATATTGGTCATCGCCAAACATACTCTTCCGATCTCCTCGACTCTGTCTTTGATTTCTCTGGGTGGGAACGAAATATATTAGAAGGTGTTACTGGTAGAAGCGTTGTCAAACACTGAATACCTGTGACATCATCACAGTTATTTATGTTTTCTCCAACTAAGACAGCCTGGACTATGTCTTGAATCCAGCTTTATTTTAAGAAATACCAGAGATTACCATGCATTGGTGGCGTACATTCAAGATGCCACATGTGCAACAAGATTTTGCATATCTTTCCTAATTAATAGTGATGCTTGTTTGTTGCTTTTCAAACATTAGTTTTGTAGTCATAATGCAGCTTTTACTTGTTATGTTGTTTGTATCTTAGAAGTCCTCTTGTTGAACAATTATTTTATTTCACTTTTATGGTTACTATTTACCAGAACCTAAAAATCCGAGTTCTGTTTTATTTCGTTGTTAGCAGCAGAAGATTTTTGAGATCTTGATGTATCTGTTTCTTCTTACAGGCATTTGACCTGGCTTACTAATAACGACTGAAAGTGAATTGATTCTATAAGGACTGTTTCATGTCCTATGATAAACTCAGGCAGCTGATTGACCAATGTGTTCAGAAATTTTACAACATATACTAATCCGTAAACACCTATCTATTGTAACCCATTACAAAACCTAGCTCGTTATAACTCCATATCGTTTTAATGAAAGTGTTCGTTTTAATTGATCGTGTAGTCTTAGCGAGTTTACATATGATCTTTACCAAGAAATAAATTTCTGAAAATGAGGAGCACTTGACTGTGATGATCGATTTTACTTCCCCACTATTCAATAAATTTCAGCAATGGAACCATTCAGATGTATTGGTAAATCCTGGAATACTTGCTTATGTGTATAATAAGTGGCTAAAAGCATAATTCATCTATTGCTAAGCTTCCTCAAATCGTACACTTGAGGATCCTGGACGTAGTTTGCTGACTGACTACTTTCAGGACTGTTCAACTGACAGATTTTGACACACTTTTTACATGGTATTAGTTTTCAAAAGACTAAACCAAAACTTTACAGATAGGTTGAAACCAATTCAAGATTTACATCCACGGCATTCTGCAGGTTATCTCTAATCTCATAGCATCATAACGTAGATTTAGGCCATTTGAACTGGTGAGTGGCTTAGTCTGAAAAAATTGACTATCAATGGTTAGTAGCTTAACATGATATTAGTCACTCCCCACTGTTAAATCAATGTTATAATCCACGCTGTTAGTCGAAATTAAAACACCGAGTAGCCACTGTGGTACTTGCCTTACTTAAAAATTTATCATCAAGTGTACCATCAAAATGAATTTTTTTAGCTGAACAGACAACATTTGTTTTGTTCTGTCTCGGAAATTACCGTTAAGTCGGGTAACGGATTATTTTTAACCCAATTATATTAAAGATAATATGTAGGAAACTTTTATTGTTAGTTTTATGGTAAATCGAATTATAATGTCTTCAATAAAAATATAAATAGCATTACATATTTGTAAGTAATTGCAATGATGTAAAATTTTGAATCTATTCCAAGTTTTAACTTATAATTATGATGGTTTAGTATTTATAAACTAAACCAACATTCATGCAACAATTATACAATAATTATGTTATGTGAAATAAATTTTATAGAAATAAGAAAACAATGTTAAATTGTTACCCTTTTATTGATCAAAATATTGTCATATATGTATGTATAGACACTAATATGAATATATATCCAATCAAACAAAGAAATATAATACATACAAGCATATATTGTAAAGAAATAAACAAATACCTCCAATTGGACTATGAAATCACAAATATTGTTTCATTTTAACTGATTCATAGTTATCTTACATTGAGTGGTATATATTTGAAAAAACAAATCTAGTTTCTATGAAATATGCACATTCATTTTATACATATTTGACAAGGTTAAATATAGAAATGGTAAATATTTGACTTTCTGTTCAAAAACGATTTCATAGTTTTATCGGTAAGAATTATTTCTCGCTTATTTCCTAAACTATCCAATCTCAGTTTTTATTTCCATTATATTATTGTTGAGATATACAAACTAATACGTTTGTGAAAACAATACCGATTTAGGCTGATAATTTAAAACAGATGAGTTGAAGCTTTATAGAGATTGTTTAAAAGAAAGTTGGTTGACAGTATAAAATTACCTCAAGTGAAGTAAAATCTTTGGGGAAATCGTGGATTTTTACCGTTGAAAAGTTTTATAGTATCATGAAACATATGTCATGTACTTTGTTTTTTCACTGTTTGACTAGTATAAGTCAGTTTATGATATAATCTTCTAATATGATATAGTATATTTCAAGTAATAAGTGAATATCTTTAAAGCAGTTAACACGGTGTAATGGGAATTTTGTATCTGCACTTATCACATAGTGAAACTCGTATTCGTGAATAAAACGTGTATAGGATATGTTCATGGTTTTGGTTACATTTGAACTGTTTTATAGGTGATTATTTGTAACACAAGCTAGATTTATCTAGATATGCCTTGAGATTTTCTGATATTATGAACCAGTATTTTTAACATTGAAGTGTTTCATGTTTGTGTTTGAGGTAACTAAATTCCTGTAGGACAAAAATGTACATGTCATGTATATAGTTCCCTTTATTATCTTAAAGAAAGCAAGAACGAAGATTGGTGCTCTCTTTAAAATGAATACACTTTTTGATTATCGAAAAGTGTTTAACCTTATGTTTTGTCTACTTCTTGATGCTGACAAACAAGCGGTTTAATTGCTTAGTAGAGTTTGATTAGCTCTAACAGTTCAAAAGAATTTAACACTGAGTACAATTCAGTTATTCCTTGCTGTAAGTAAAAGAAATACAGTCATTTTTGGCTTATTGAAAACAAGTTTCCTCGTGGTAGAGTTCGTTATCTTTGGTTTATTTATTTCAGGTTTAATGGTGCAATCTGTCCAATAAAATACAGACAATCATATATATATACATCTTTCATATGTATTAAATAATATGCATATAGCAATGGATGAATCTAATAAGGAATTAATTAATAATGTACCACATTCACGGGCAAAAACGCGACCATCTGGAAAATGTACATTAGCTAGGAAACGTTTAAAACAAGTGTTTAATATGAGAAATATTATTTATCAGTTATTGGATTGACAGGTTTTGAAGCATTATTAGTATTATGTCGAGTGATATTGGAAACAGAATCATTACGTTTACCTGTAAGTATGTAATATTTGTAGAATAAATAACATTATACAGTTTTTGCAACGATTGTAATCTCTTATAGTACAGTTTAGAATAATGTTTTTTACCATATAATGAACACATAAATCCAAGCGATACCGATTGATACATATTTAGAAGTTGTTTACCAACATAGGTCTTGTCACATCCATGTATACATATCAACACGCAGAAGATTTCAACCCTCAAAGATTACGACAAGTTCATATTGAAGAAAGAATGCATTAATTCATGAATGTCGTATTGAAATGACCTAATGATATTCATTAATAAGATGATTCCACGACAGTAAATCCTAGCACCAGTGATTAATTCTACAATTAGTCAGCTATTTAATTACTCACTGCACCTTTTTCTAATTTCTCAATGATTATTCAGTTTTAATGGTATTTTCATTTGTTCCGTGCCTAAATTACTAACGAAAATAGGTTAATACTGTATCTTGGTTATCTGAGAGGTTTCCGATTGGAAATCTATAAGTTTATAAAGTTTTAATACTAAACCGATTCTACCTGAGGAACCATTGGAAATCAGAGATCACTTGTGTACCTGGAAGCACTGGACAGCCGTTTTGTTCTATGTGGGACTCCTCAACAATGTACATTCACGATCCCGCTTCGCAAGATTCGAGCCTAGAACCTATTGGTTTCGCGCACGAACGATTAACCTTTAGATCACTGAGTCAGCATCCAATGGTGTTAACTAAGCTGGTTAATATATGTCAATGATTTACTAATACTATAAAGAAACAAACTCTTTTAATAAAATTAATATAGTCGTGAACGAGAAAACAAGTGGTGACAATCAAATATATTTTAATACAAAATTACAGAACATCCTAGTAAAAACTGAGAACCGTACAGTAATACCTTTATTTACAAAACGTCAATCAATTGTCTCAGACTTCATTGTTCTTTCGATTTCACATTAATCATTCTTTGTCCTCGTTCTCTTTTTGTTTTTTGATCTTCTTAATCTTCTGCCTCCAGGCATTTCACTTTCGATTGATGATACACACTACTTGTATCTATCGACATCAGTAGCACACACACACACACACCACAATATTACAGATTAGTATAGTTGTGATATGTAACTCGTTATCAATTACATATTAACTATGAGATAATTCGATAGTTATTTGAGTTAACTTTTAACTCTATATACATAGTATAAAAGGTTATAAGAATGTAGAGTACTAGCGATAAGGCGTGCTAGACATGAGTAATTCTTCATTCTTATAAAATTTATAGTAAATTCGACACTACATAGATTAATGTATGATTTAGTTTGTGAGTAATTGTTTATGTTGTTCAATTACTACTTAATGATCACTGTCTTATTTTGTGTTTTTCTTTTTCTTCAGCCCGGAAATACTCAACGCTTAATTTTAGAAGGTCAATTAGCTTTAGAATGTTTAAGTTTATTTACATTGACATTATTTGTTGTGGAAGTTCCATTTAAAATATGGGCTATGGGGATTCGTCAATGGGGTCGTCAATTATTATTTATTATAGATGGTCTTGTATGTGCAGTTTGTTTCTCATTAGATATCTATAATATTTATCGACATTCTAGTCGACCATCAAGAGGGATTACGTCATCAAAAGTTTTAGAATTATGTAATTATTTACATATTACTTCACAAGCAGATACAGCTTCAACATTTGCTGAAATCTTTGGTCTTATGATTGTTTATAGATTATGGTATATTAAAAGATTTATAAAAAGTAAGTATTCAGTTTGTATTTGTTTTCATTGTATTTATTGTGAATTATTAGTATTCTCCTGATTTACCTACATTATGACCGCTATCAATAAGATGTGCTAAGATAGAACTGCGTATTGTTTTTATCTATTCCTTCATAAACCAGGCTAGTAGATGTTCACTCATTCGTTGGTTAAGTTGCCTGATAGTATGCCCGATATAGCTATCTCCACAGGAGCAGCTGAATTTGTAAATGCACATTGAGGAGGCCAACTCAGTTAACTTATCCTTCGTTTGAGTAGACATCGCTGGTCGACTCAAGAAGGTGAACGCAAGATTCACTGCGTAGAACGTCCTGCTAATTACCTATCATTCAGAGTATCACTGGCCATATCCCCCGTTGAATTGTACTTGTTTTTTTTGTACTTTTTGAAATGTATAAGTGTTTTCTCAAACAAACTGTTTTAATTCATTATGTAACTTAACTCCTGAGAAATTGGTGTAATCCTTTATCAATCTTTCATTCTATATAATGATTAGAATAGTAATAACGCGAGTTATAAAGATGACTTTAGAAGAACAATGAATTTAGTCTATTTTAAGTTTTAGGTTATTTGAATTCTAGCTGATATTAGTATCAGAGATGCTTGTTTTGTCTAATTTGGGACTAACTAGCTAGATGTGCTTTCATCCAAATGTTGTTATTTATACGGAAAAACGAGTCCAATACTTATCGTTTAGGTTTTCAGCAGCAAAACAACACGTTGACGTTTGGAGCAATAAGTAATATCTAGGTAAAGACACTGTCACCAGATATCAGGTATATCCAGATAACAAGTCTAGTATAAATCGAATTACCTGCTCTCCTGAGTGTTTCATATTTTTCATTGTCTGATATTTTTTGGAAAATTTACTATTTAAATAATCAACATGTTTTATTATACAACAAATACTACTTATATGTGATCGTTAATTTGATCAGTCCAAACAAACAAACAAGAGAAAGAAACATAATATTTCATAGGAATATAATTTTCTATATACGACCAATTATTCAATAGGCATCATTGAAAATACTTTATAATTTTACATATCAGAGGGGGTTTTGTGAACATTTTAGTAATCTTAATCGTTGAGATCATGAGTCAATTGAAGCTCGACCACCATGAAAAACTTGGAAGTACTGGATGGCAGTCTCATCCTATTGTGAGACTCCTCAGCAATGCACATCCACGATCCTGCCTTGCGAGATTCGAACACAGGATTTGTCAGTCTCGCGTGTGAGAGCTTAACCACTAGACCACTGAGCCGGCATTCAGCAATACTAATGTCTAACTTCAATTAATTCACGAAATTGAGCGACACATCCATCATTGTTTTCAGTGAGTTGCTATCTCACGACAGATCCGGTTGAACTCCCTTGGTCACTGCTTCTCACTAGAACTCCAGAAAATACCTCTTGAACTCAATTCCTATAATATTTTGGTTTAGAATTATTGAAAATAATTTATAGAATATTAGTAAGATTCATTTTAAATCTTGTTTAGAAATTAAGACTAAATTCGATGTTGAGTTGAAATGATGATTGAAATTTCGTATCTTTAATTAAATAAACAAGATTACACTTACTTACTTACTTATGCTCGTTAACCCTCATGGAGGAGCATAGGCCGATCACCAGCATTCTCCATCCAACTCTGTCCTGAAAAATCCTTTCCAGTTGTTTCCAGTTGCTATTCATCCTTTTCATGTCTGCTTCCAATCCCCGACTCAGTGTGTTCTTTGGCCTTCCTCTTTTTCGTTCCCCTTTAGGATTCAAAGTTAACGCTTGCCTTGTGATGCATTTAAATGATTTCCGTAATGTGTGTCCTATCCACTTCAAACATCATTTCCTATATATATAATTTGCAAAAATGAAATAATACTGATCGAGTGGATACGTTACGTAATAATTATGTGATAACATATCGATTATAAATTGGAAGAAAGAGAAGTAATCATGATCAAAGTAATTATTTGAAAATCAAGCAGTTGCTACGTTGCATAATATATAGAAGAGAAAGGAGACAGAATACTTTTTTATTTTGAGATCATAAACCGATTGATGTTAGACCACCATTGAAAACCTGGAAGCACTGGACATCCGTTTCGTCCCATTGTGGGACATCTCAACAGTGCGCATCCACAATCCCGACCGCGGAATTCAAACCCAGGGCCTTCAGTCTCGCGTGCGAACGCTTAACTTTTAAACCATTGAGTCGGCATCCAACAGTGTTAATGTCTAACCTCAACCAGTCCACGAAGTTGCGCGACGATCTTCCATTGTAATGAGGTAGACACCTGTTTCTACCCGACACGGAATATTTTAATGAATCGTCAGTAATATAGTAGCTATGTAAGAATCAAGAAATGAATGTTGGGAATAAGTAAAATACAAAAAAATACAAAGAAACCACTGAAGAAATACGAGAATCGTTTATCATAGTTCTGCTACAAACTTCCCTATTATACTGATGGCCAAAGTAACGAGAATGATTGTACAAACCTCGTTTAAATGCAAAGGTTAGGTTTGTGAACATGGATTGTAATAACTTCAGCAATGTGCAAAAGACTCACTTGTTTACTGTTTGTTTGTTTGTTTTCTATGACAATCAACATTTTGAAATAGATGATACAATAAACATCAAATTTCTATTATGTCATAATGTTGTTCTACTCAACTATTTATAAATTGAAAATTAGTAGTAGTGAATGAAAAATTCTTAATAAAATGAGGGTAGTAATAAAAAAAAAAAAACAAGATATGTAGTAGAAGAATATGTAATAGAATGAATAATATACAGTTTCTAATTGATTGAATCATTGTCAACATTTAAGAATTGATGATCCAGACCTTAGTTGAACTTGAATTGATTGATTCATCATAAAAGAATCAGATAGATAGATAGATAGTTGACAAAATTCAGTTTTCATAAGTATAGGGTTGATTGAGATGTTAGGCCATCATTGAAAACCTGGAAGCACTGGATGACCGTTTCGTCCTATTGTCGTGAGACTCCTTAGCAGTGCGCATTTACGATCCCGCTCGCGGTATTCAAATCCAGGGCCTTCAGTCTCGCGCGCAAACGCTTAACCTTCAGACTACTTAAAATATTGAAATACATTTCTGTTTAGTTCAGCTTTCATGATTGATGAATGTAAGTCAGAGAAGATTACACAGTAAAATAAATTGTGACTACTATACAAATGTTGTGAACTGATGCCAGTCAGATATATCTATGTATTTATAATAACCCTGGATTCGGATCAAGTTTATTGTATCAATAATAAGCATGAATAGAAAAAAAAATATATATATATATATAACGATCTGTTCAACTGATTGATCACTGCGTTGTAACCAATGCCACATTTGTCTAGTCTTTTGATACTAACTCACTTCAATTTACCAACTTACTGGTTGACACTGATTTGAATACCACAGAGAGCAGCAGCGTTTTTAGGTTCGTAGATATGTCTTTCTGACAAGTACTAGTAAACACTGAATCTATGTCAAACAGTGTGGCCAGTGGAGTTCAACCAGGTCTGTTGTGAGATAGGAGCTCATTGAAGACAATAGTGGGCGGTGTCTCGATTTCGTGGATTGGTTGAAGTTAGACATTAAAACTGTCGAGTGCCGACTCAATGGTTTAGAGGTTTAGCATTCGCGCGTGAGACTGAAGGCCCTGGGTTTGAATCCCGCGAGAGGGATTGTGGAAGCGCACCGTCGAGAAGTCCCACAACAGGACGAAATGGCCGTTCAGTGCTTCTAGATTTTAATGGTGGTCTAACATCAAGGTGAAACTATAACTGATGGACGACCTTCGAGTGACGCTAGACTGACCTTGAGAGTATCCGCCTGATAACTGGGGTCAAATGAGTTTATAAACCTGTGTAAGTAATTAGAATTATGTCTTACAGTTGATGATTAAGGTTAGAAATTATATTTACGGTGTTCATTACGAACTGACATCAGCTATAATGTCAAAACTTTATTTAGCCAAATGGATGAGTGAATTTCGCGTCAAACTCCGAGACCTGTTATCTTGTACGTGATTGGTTCGTCCAAAAAATTTTAGTTTCGCCTATTTCAAATTAAATCGCCTTTTTATTATAAACATACTAATTCATTGAATATTTAATTCAACAAAAGAATTTTCTCAAAGAATATATATAAAAGTCTATAATTAATTTTGAATCTCAATCATCGACTACTAACTAGTTGAACAGTACTATGTATGATATGTTGCTTCCAGTAGTGAAAGCAATTCATAAGTTAGAGTTACAGAAATAGAATGATCAAATGGACAGAACTTGTTGTTTAAACAAACTATTAAATAGGGTATATTGAACTATTGGGTCACAAATTTTTTTACCGATTTCTAGACTCACCTTGTCTAATGCATTGGTTAGTTTAGTCACAAACAGAGTTAACTTAAAGATCAGTGTGCTCTTCGAAAGAAATCATGTATTTACCGACGAAATGATGTAAGAATGTAAATTTATAGGCTTATTGACATTACTCAAAATCTTGAAGTAATTTGAAGCTTTGCTTAGCTTATAATTGTCTTCTGTGTAATAAACCTTGTGGTGCTTGTGGAATTATATATTTTCTTGGCTGAATCTTGTCTTCTTCCTCTAGCTGATAGGTTTGGAGCGCAGAGGAATAGTTTAGCTTGTCCTTTTATTTCATTGCTTGTTTTCATTTTGTTCGCTAGTCCAAGGTGATATCATTATAATTTCTTAGACATAGGATCCATATACAAAATGTTTTAGCTCATATTTAGTTTAGGATGAATGTTAATCTAAAACTATTCATTGTTCTATACAAAGATCAATATAAACTGTCAATATATTAAATTAGTTGATTGTATCACTGATTTAAAATAAGGATATATCACTGAATAAATGCATATTTGCAGATACATATCATGTTTTAATTGAATGGATCAGATGAAAAGGGAAGGAGATTAATCCAACACATATCTATTTCATTCTAAAACTGTATTGGAACAATTTACTTTGCTATGACTTCATCATGAAGTTCCATGAAGCTATGACGTAGATAGGTTTTTACATTATGTTGTGTTGACTTAATAGTCATAGATGTTGTAACGGGTGGACTGCAGGTTATGACAAGCAGCGTATTTATCGATCGATTCAATGACACGTAAACACGGACGAACGACCTAGTGCCCTGATTGGTCCCTGCTTCCCTGTCTAACCCAGCCAGTTGGGTTCAGAACGCAAGTCAGCCTCTGAGTTATGAATCATTTTATTCCAGACATACTCTATTTATATACCAAACAAACAAACCACATCGTACCATAAAAATAGAAGACAACATTTACACAATATGTAACGAATGAATTAAATAATAGCCAATAGGAAATGTCCATTTAACGTCCAAGGACACCATTCGACTTAACACGATAATTATTGGTACATTCCTCTGCATACCTAACAATAGAAAGGAAATATCACGTTTGTATTCACTTGTGAAATATGTTAGTTAATATAAATGAGATGATTCAAGTTCACTGTCCAACAACATCAAAAACTTCATAACTAGATTTGCTGCCGGGGAAACAACATCCTACATCCACCCGGCACCTGAGACGCTTACCACCCGTGCTCCACCGGCCTGCTGAGACATCTACATCCGATATCCACCCAACAGCCGCACGTCCCACCGCTTCTCTCCATCGACAGCACCCGCTACAGCCAACGCCTCCCTGCCAGAACACTCCATTCGACGCCACCTCCCAGCACCAGACTGCCCCAAATAGCACCTCAGCTCCAGGCCTGCAACGGCATTTACAGAACAGCACCCCTCACCTCCTGGTTGGCAGTGACACCAAATGTAGTGAACAGAACACGGGCGGGGACAATCGAATGTTTTTGGTGGAGTTTTGTTCTCTGAGCTGGATGGTTCGGTCGTGGAGCTTTTATCGTTCTTCTGAACGACATCATCAGCACAATCGAATATACTTAACACAAAATTACAGGACTTGTTAATAAAATCTAACAATCATAATGTAAATGCTTAATTTGCAAAATGTCCATCAATTGTCTCAAAATGACTCAGACTTCATTGTTCTAGCATTTTCATGCAAATTGCATTCTGTTTCGATTCTTTACTGTTCGATCCTCTTTTCCCTCTACTGCCAGACCTTCTGTTCACTACTAACATCATATACTACTTATGTCAATATAAGTAGCACACATCACACAAGTACTGGGTAGTTATTTCTTTTCATTTCTGACCTTTTCAACTGTACAAACAAAGCTACACCAGTTTCAACACAACAATCTCAATTTTCATAATAAATGCAATTTCATTCAGTAAATGAGTCGAAAATTAATTGATCATCATTCTTGAATTCACGCATTCTTGTTCACTAGGGAAATATTTGTCGTTTATTCATAAATAACAGATTTATTGCATAGTTAACAATTATCATGAGTATATACATGACTATCAGTAGGGAGTTGTGAAAATTGTTAAGATTTTTTAATGAGATCATGAATCGATCGATGCTAGATCACCTGACAGTCATTTCATCCTAGTATAAGACTCTTTACCATTGCTCATCCACTATCTCGCATACAGGATTCAAACCCAAAACCTTCGATTTCATGTATGAACGTTTAATCTCTAGACCATTTAGCCAGCATTCAACAAAATTGTGTGACCATCTTCCATGATCTAAATTAGATACCTATCTTTATGTGACATGTATTAACTCCACTGGTTATCATTATTATATATTGAAATACTTTGATATACATTGCTTAGTTACAACATTCTCACTCTAGTTTTGTAGTGAAAGAGAACACAGATGAAGACAATCGGAGTTACTGATAAAATAAAAAAACCATACTATAATACTTAATTTGCAAAATGTTCAATAATTATCTCGGACTTCATTGTTCTTGCATTTTCATAGTAACTAATTTCTATTCCCGGTCTTCCTTTCTTGATCTTCGCCCATCTTCTGCCGCCAGACATTATATTCCTGACTCGTGTTATATACTACTTATGTCAATATAAGTAGCACGCACCACAGTTTTATCAATACATACAATTAAGAATAAAAGTTTTTATTCTGCTGAAAATCACTTTACACTTTTTTATATATTTCTTATCATTTAAGTAATTTATTCAATGTTTATAGATTTTATTTAACAAGTCACTTACTTTCTAATGTAAACTATGGTTAATCTGTGCATTTTGATATACTTTCATAGAAATGTATAAGTACACATACATATATATATCTAGTGTTTATGCAATAGAATGAATTTGTCAAAGAGAATTATAAATCGTGTTTTAACAGGTCAACCAGAAACACAAAGAATGTTAGAATACACCTAGAGTTAAACATGAAATGAATATAGGTGTATATTATTATTATTATTCGTGTGAAATTTCTCTATATAGTTACATATTTAAATGATGATAATGATGATGATGAATAAATCTGTTGAGATAATAAAGAAGATTTATAGCTCAGGTAGATGATGATTTAGAAGAAGTTTTATTCTCGAATCTAAATGGTTTGGTTGTGAAGATT